GGCGTCAGCCGCGTCTGGGTGTTCAGCCTGGCGCGCGGGAAGGGCGTCGCGCGGCGCATGGTGGACGCGGCCAGGTACGGAGCGCGGCACCGCGGGTGCAGGGATCAGGGGCCCCTTGGTCTTGAGGGGGAAGCGAGACCGCATCAAAAAGAAATACCCCAAAAAACACTTAGAATAACATGGGTGCTTTGTTCCCTAAAGGAAAAGTGGAGATTTGTATCATTTTGCAAGTGTGAAATCCTCCCTTGCCAGCGAAGCGGTATCAAGTGGATTAAAAATACCTAACTTGACACATAAAGCACAAAAATACCAAGTATTGACAGAAAACGGCACATAAAAACATAAAAATACATAACGTGAGTGTGAGCCAAGTTATAAAGTGCTGGGCGTAACGTGAACACAGAACTACATTGACAGGACTTTTAAAGAAGACTTATTTTGCTTGGAAAGGAATATATTTTCTTAATTGAACACGTTGATGTGCCTGAAACCTTGAGTTTTTCCAGGTGGGAAACTCCAAGCGTTTCAAGTGCAGGCAGCTTTGGGACTGAAAAGAGCACTTTTGGGAAGGCTCCCCATGCCTGAATATGGAAACGTGATGGTAGTCAGTGGGCCTTGAGTCACGCACACGGTCTCTGTGTGTAGTATCTGCTCTCTGTGTTTGTAAACACAGCTCGGTATCCCCAGGGTTCACCAGCCAGGGGTTGATTTCCCTTTGCTCTGTTCTGTGGTTAGTGCTTGGCTTGCCAGAAATAGGAGCCAAAGGGCCCTCGGGGACCCCTAGATGCCCAGGACCGCCCTTGCTGGGGTGCCCTGGGCCCTAATGTGAGCCCTGCTATGGTTGTAAGGGGTGTGAGGTGTTCTCTGACTGTATCTATCTTGTGTATCCTTTTTGCTAATCTTAAAATTCCTCCAGAATCCAAGACAGCAAAGTGGCATCTCACCCCTATCCCTTCTGGGTTGAAAACAAGGGTATAAATGGAGCCAGCTCCCGGGGAGAAGGGCCCAGAGGGGATCCCCAGGGTGGAACGTTCCACAAGTTGCATAAAACACCCGTTACCTGCTGTGTTCTCCCTTCCAGGAGCACGTTCACGTACGGCTGCTACCTAAGCACGGACGAAATCGCCTTCTCCGATCCCACACCGGACGGCAGGCTCTTCGCAACGAAATACTGCCAAACCCCCAACTTCCTTGTTTACAATTTTATTTGTTGTAATCAACCCGCGTCGGCTAGCGTAAGCTGAATCAAAGCTCACTTTATTAATTCATCTGTTTTTAAATGTTATTTTAAGTGGTGTTCCTGGGCCAAACTGCATTTTCCTACTGAGCGCTAGTTCCTCTCTCTGTCTTGGGAGCAAGGAGGTGGGTCACTTTCTGTACAGAACTGTTGTATATTTTAATGGATGCTGTGAAGCCAAGCAACCAAAAGCTTGCTTGGATATCAGCCAGATGGTTTTTCAAATGTTTATTCAGAATCTAGAGTTTATTGTAATTTAATTTCTTTAAAAGTTCTATTAATATAAAGATGGTTCTTGTTTCTGGATGGCTACTTAACCTTGGACCTTAACCTGGCTGCAAATTTGTGCAAACGGGGTGAGCAAGAGCAGCCCTAAAGCTGCCCTAAAGTCCTGGGCTGCGGCGTGTGACACAGGGGACACTTGGGCCGTGGGGAAAGGGGGTGTTTGGGGTAGGGAAGCTGGTCCTGGCAGCGCCTGTTCAATAAACTGTGAAACCTCAGCTGCCTCCATGAGCTTCTGTGACCGTAAGGGGGGAAAATAACCCAAACTTCCCCAAATCTTTGAAAGGTGATGGGGGAGGAGATTCTAGCTCTCCTCTTGAGCTCCAAAGAGTGGCTAAAAGGGAGGCAGAAGGAAATATAGGAATATACCTTGCCTTTCTCCAGCTATGAGTCAGAGCTTTCCTAACCTAGCCCTGTTTGCTCCCCGCGCTCCTCCCTTTGGTGCCCACCCACCTGGGGAGGGTTGGGAACAACCCCAGAGGGAGAGGCGGGAGGAAAACAGCAGCCCCTTTCTCCACCTTTGTGGGAAATAAGTTTATTTTGGACCTTTCAGTCAGAAAAGAGAGACAAAACAGAGCAACAACTGAGCTAACAGACACCTACAAGGGCTGATACTCTATTTACAACGGGGATGCAACAATTAAAACTGACATAAGAGGCCCCTAAGGACTTAAGTGCAGCTTAGAGGGAGGTCACAAGGCCCAGGCCTGTCCTTAAGATTAAGTAGTGCTAGAGCAGGGGGTTGCCTTACAGAACGGAGCCTCGGTGGAGGCACCGGGGGAGCCTTCACCCGCTGGAAGGGTAGAGGGGCAGCGCGGTCTCCAGCGCGCGCACGAT